AAAAAAAAAAAAAAATAGAATATGAAACGGTATAACCACTTTACTAAATGGTTTGGAATTTTCTTTAAGTGTTTTACATACACTAAACATAAAAAGATTATTCCACTCCATTTAGCCAAAGAGAAACAAAAACATATGTCACACAAAAATTTGTATACAAATGTTCATACCTTTACTTATAAAAGCCAAAACCTAGAAAAAACTCATATGTCCATCCGTTAGTGAATAGATAACTTGTGATGTATCCATACAATGGCATACTAAGCAAATCAAATGGAACAACTATATTTTTTAAGAATTATTTTATAATTTTATTCATTATTTTTACTGAAATTAACCAGAAAGAGACCAAAAGAGAGAAAGAAATTCAGAAAGCAAGTTGCCAAGTCCGGGATTTGTACTGCGGTCAACCATGTGGGAAGTCCAGCTGCCTTAACCATGCCACCTGCCAGCCCGGGGCAGCTACAATATTATACTGAGTGGAAAAAAACTTGAACACAAAAGAATGTAAATTGTGTGTTCATTTATATAAAATTCTAGGAAAAAAAATCTGTAGTCATAGAAGTCAGATCAATAGTTGGATAAAGTGGGGTGTTACTGACACACAAAAACGTCCATTTACAGTTATGCAGTTTGTTTATTATACAGTAAGAAATGTTTTCCTTTTTATTAATATGTTTTTACAAATATAGCATTTAAATATGAAACTGAAGGCATGGTTGGTTTATGAGGTCTTTTTTACTACGTCCTTACTGTTGACCGAAGGTGCTGTGTGGACGGGCGACAACACAGCGGAGTGGAGTTACCTGAAAATCTCTATCCCCATGTTACTCACTCTCAGCATTACTGGGATCTCTTTTTGTGGAGGTAAGATGAACCCTATCCTAAGGCCTGGTGTGAGAGAAAATAAAAAGCATGGGTGTTTTTATCAAAGCTGGTCATAAATCCCTTCTCATTTGTTGTTTTGAGTTGGGATAAATGTGAGAAAAAGAAAATGAGGGGGAGCGGATTAAGAGAGGGGAATGAAAGGGGTACTTTAGAGCTGTTTGTGTCTCCTCCGAATTGAAGATGTCAAGTCAAGTTGTCAAGAAGGAGCCAGAGTGCTCCTTTCCCTCCTCCGCTTATCACTTTCTCCTTAGATACGATTGATAACTGAGTTTCTCTACCTAAAACATGTCTTTTCTTCTTGAAAGTGAGAAAAATAGAACTAAAAAGAATTTAGTAAATCAGAAATAAGCAAATTTAAAATTCTGTGGCACACTTTAACTGTTAAAAAAAGTTATGCTCTTGGGAAGATAAGTTTATTGGGTTGTCAGAAAAGTCATGACCTATTTGTGTTTGTCTTTCTATGCAAAAATGTGTCATAACTTTTCCAACAATCCCATAGTTAAAACAAGGTTCTCTGAGGACTGCTTTCTTTCACCGTAAGAATTCTCTGCCTTCTAGAGACCTCAGTATGGAACTCAATGTGGCTGCAGTTCCAGCCTCTCCTTGTTTTCTCTAGGATTAGAAGCAAATTAATATATGGTATCTTGATTTCTGTGTTTTTGTGGCATTGGTCCTCATTCCATATAAGGAATGCATGTACTACTCAATGGCTCAGCATGAAATTCTACCTAAACTGCTAATTCTGATTATCTGTTTCTCTTTAAGTCTTTCTATAATTTTTATCTTGGTTCAGCTGTTGCTTACAAAGGAAATTAGTTGCCAATCTCCCTCTCCACCATGCACACACATTTAGGGTGGGGGAGCGGCGTAGGTTTCTTTTGCTGTAGGGCGCCAGGTATGCTTGCCAGAGACAGTGAGAGGGAACTGAGAAATCACCTCCTGGGGGGATAGCTACAATTCCCTTTCCTCTACTCTCTTCCTGGGACTCTGGGCACACATTGTACATGCACCCGGTGTGATTTTCAAGCTACCAGGTCCAGGACTTAAACCATGATCGACCAGGCGGGAGTCCAACATCTCAACCACCATGCCATCTGCTGGCCCCGCCCCCACACACTTTTTTTTGAGACAGAGAGAGAGAAAGCAAAAAATAACCACCCTCCCCTCGGGGGGATGGCCACACTGCAATCCCTTCTCCTCCATTCTCCTCTTGGGATTTTGGGTACGCACACACATGCTCCAATCCCTTCTCCTCCATTCTCCTCTTGGGATTTTGGGTACGCACACACATGCTCCAATCCCTTCTCCTCCATTCTCCTCTTGGGATTTTGGGTACGCACACACATGCTCCAATCCCTTCTCCTCCATTCTCCTCTTGGGATTTTGGTTATGCACACACATGCATACACGCACACACACACTCGCACGCACACACACATGCCTGGCATGAGTTTTTTCTCTGTGTTTTTTTTTTTTTTTTTAAGTGAAATTTTTGCTAGAGGGCATAGGTACTCACCGGAGAGACACAGAGAGATAGAAAGCGAGAAATCACCTGCCTGGGCAATGGCCAGGCTGCAGTCCCTTCTCCATTCTCCTCTTGGGATTTTAGGCATGCCCACACACATACCTGGCATTGAGTTTCAAGCCACTGAGTCCAGGATTTAAACCGTGGTCCACTGACTATGTGGGAGTCCAGTGATGTAGCCATCTGCTGGTCCCACACACACGCTTTTTTAAAAAGGCAGATATTTTGTAATTTTCCGATTATCTAGATTTGGGAAGATACAGGAATGTTGATCTTTCGGTAAAGCCTCTGACCTGCTGTCAAGAAACAACTGTTAACAGAGTATACTGTCAGCTCCCAAACTAGCTATGTTTTGTAGTCTGTGCTCCCTATTTAAGGCCACAGTTTTATCCTGTTGCTTTGAGAGCACATACAGTGCCTTTCCCTGTCATCCTTCAAGTCCTTATTTTACTCGTGTACATGTTTAGTCAAAGCCTGGCTACCTCACTTGGTTTTTGTTTTTTTGTTTTTTGTTTTTGTTTTTGTTTCTTTTTTTTGCCTAACCAGCTGATGTAGGTGGGTTCATTGGGAATCCAGAGGCAGAACTGCTGGTGCGTTGGTACCAGGCTGGAGCCTACCAACCCTTCTTCCGTGGCCATGCCACTATGAAAACCAAGCGGCGGGAACCCTGGCTATTTGGTGAGGAAAACACGCGGCTCATCCGAGAAGCCATCAGAGAACGCTACACCCTCCTGCCCTTTTGGTATTTTTTGTTCTACCGGACACACGTGGCTTCTGAACCTGTCATGAGGTATAAAAGCTTCATTCATTCAGGTGCCCCAGAAACCAACCTATAATAGATCTCCTTGGCAATTAGGCAATGGAGTAGTGTAATTTCAAAATAAAAAGTGGAGGTGGCGGGCTGGTGGTATGGTGGTTAAGGCACTGAACTCCCACGTGGCCAGCCATGGTTGAAGTCCCAAACATGGTGGCTTGCTTTCTTACTTTCCCTTTCTCTCTCTCTGGTCAAATTAAAAATAATAATGATAATAATAATAATAAATAAAATTAGGTAAATAATTAGTTTTAAAAAGAAGAGAGAAAAACCATATGTTTAATCAGGTTGTAATCAGTTTAATGAGCACCAGCCATGAATGGGGTGCATGCCGTTGAGGACATAGAAGATTAAAACTAGATCTCCTGCTACTTTGTAATTGAAGTGTTAATATTTCATAGGAAACCAAAATAGAGATATGAAGAAATCTTCAAAAGATTCTTGGATATGCATATTATGAAAAATTATACATGGATTTCAGAAATGTTTTTCTACCAAAATATATGCCTTCATTTCATTTTTTGGAAATTTTTGAAGTCCCTTCATATTTCAAAGAAAAAGAAAGTGACTTTGTAACTGAATTCATTCAGTGTTTAACCCACAAACATCATTTCCTAAAGAATACCTTATTCTGCCACTCTTAGGCTTTATCTTACCCTTAGGGCTAAAACTCTCCAAACCGAAGATGGACATTTTTCTTAGTGTGTAAATTGTTTTCTAATACTATTTTGAAGGCAAAATATGGAAAAATAACTTTCTGGATTAGACGGTGTTACACTCAGACATATAATATGCCAAGGCATTTTTTAGAGAGATTTTTGCTATAGGGTACATGTGCTCACTGGAGAGTCAGAGAGATAGAAAGTGAGAAATCACTTCTCCAGGGGATGGCCATGCCTCAATCCCTTCTCTAATCTGCTCTTGGTATTTTGAGCATGCATGCACATACACCTGACATGCATTGTTTTTTTGTTTGTTTGTTTTTTGTTTTTTTGAGGTTTTTTGAGAGGTTTTTGATATAGGGCACGTGCACTCGCTAGAAAGACAGAGAGAGACAAGAGAGACAGAAAGCAAGAAATCACCCTCCAGAGGGGATTGCTATGCCACAATCCCGTCTCCTAAATTCTCCTCTCGGGATCTTAGGCTCACATGCACACGTGCCTGGCGTGAATTTAAACCACCAGGTCCAAGACTTGAACCGCGGTCGACTACATGGGAGTCCAGGGACATAGCCATTATGCTAACTGCTGGTCCCCTGACATGCGTTTTTAAACTGCCAGGTCCAAGACTTGAACCACAGTCAACTTCATGAGAGTCCACTAGTGTAACCATTACATCATTTAAGAGTCTCAAGTCTTTTTTTTTTTTTTTTTTTTTTTGCATAGGTGCACAAGTGTTTGCCAGATGGCAGAGAGTGAGAGAGAGAGAGAGAGAGAGGAAGTAAGAAATCACCCCCCCCACCCAGGGACCAGCAGCAGTTAGCGTAATGGCCATGTCACTGGATTTCCATGTAGTTGACCGCGGGTCGCTTAAAATTCACGCCGGACGTGTGTGCATGTGCGCCCAAGATCCTGAGAGGAGAATGGAGGAAAAGGGATTGCGGTGTGGCCATCCCCCCGGGGGGTGATTTCTCGCTTTCTGTCTCTCTGTCTCTGTCTGGTGAGCACACACGCCCTATAGCCAAAACAAAACAAAAAAAATCACCCCCCAGGGGGATGGCCACACCACAGTCCCTTCTCTTCCATCCTCCTTTTGAGATTTTGGGTGCACACACACACACACATACCTGGCATGAATTTGTTTTTGTTTTTAAAAAGAGGTTTTTGCCTTAGGGCCTGTGCACTTGTAGGCGCTGGGGCAGGAGAGAAAGAGACAGTGAGATGGAAAGCAAGAAATCACCCCCCAAGGGAGATCCCTTCTTCTCCATTCTCCTCCCAGGATTTTGGGCACCCACGCACACAAGCCTGATGTGTTTCAAGCCACCATTTCTGGGATTTGAACTACAGTCAGCGTGTGGGAGTTCAGCAATGTAACCACTGCGTCATCTGCTGGCCGCACCCGGCATGGTTTTCAGGCCGCTGGATTGGGGATCATGGAGTCTGCTCTGTGGGATCCACTGCCTTAACCTTTATACCACCTGCTGGCCCATGCCAAGGCTTTTTAATCAGCAGTTCCTAAAATGAGTTGGCTTAGATTAAAATCAATTGAGGATCTTTTTAGACATGCAGATTCTAAGGCCATACTCCAAACCTGCTAGGAATCTCTTTGGGTAGATCTCTATATTTGTTAGCTTCTCAGAGTATTCTAGACATCAGCCAGGTTTAAATATTGTTGCTTTGTTACGATTCAGTAGGAAAAATATATATCACTACAGAGACTAGTGAATAAACTAAAAATAAGGTTTTTTATAAAAAAAAAAACACTTTTCCTCATTCAATTGAAAAATGGTTAGAACCATAAAGACGATATTCAGATACATAAATATTGAAAGAATTGTTATTTGCGGATCTCAAATGCCTTTTAGACAATTGTGAGCAATGATAATAACAATCAAAAAGCATGCAGGATGGGACCAGCAGTTGGTGTAATGGTTATGTTGCTGGACTCCCATGTAGTCGACCACAGTTCGAGTCCCAGACTCAGCAGCTTAAAAGTCATGCCAGTTGCATGTACATGCATGCTCAAAATCCCAAGAGGAGAATGGGGAAGAGGAGATTGTGGCATGGCCCTCCCCCCGCCTGGAGTGGTGGTTTCTCACTTTCTGTCTCTGTATTTCTCTGTCTCTCCAGCGAGCACTCATGCCCTATAGCAAAAATCTCTCTTTAAAAGAAAATTTTAAAAAAGTATACAGGACTGGCCCCATAATACTGTGGTTAAGGGCCAGATCCCACATGGCCATCTGTGATTTGAATCCCAGCCCTGGCAGGTGAGAAACATGCCAGACATATGTGCCCCAAATCCTGACAGAATGGAGAAAAGGAGGAGAAGGGATTGCCAAATGGCCATGCCCCATTGGGGATGGGGGTGGGGGTTGCTTTACCCTTCTCTTTCTCTTTTTCTATCTTTCTCTAGTGAATGCATGCCCCCTCTGGAATTAAAAACAAACAAATGAACAATAACTGAGAAAGAAACACACTGCAGTTTCTCAGTTCTCCAGAAATGCTGCCTGAAAACAAGAAAAGTCAAGTTATTTTTATTTAATGGTCATGATTATTTTTATTAAGGTCATGATTAAGTATGCATAAGAGCCAGTGACAGCATGAAAAAAAGCACATTATTATCATCATCATCAAATTTGGTTTTACGAGCATTTTATTTGTTTTAGATCAAAGGTGATAGACATTTCGACTTGTATAAAGCTCTCCATCTGCTAGAATAGTATTTAGTGATCAGTAACCATAAGAAAGAATTGCAGGTATTACAATTCTTCATATTTTGTTGGAACATTTGCGTTAATTAAAAAACTCTGTCACATTAGAATACAAGAGAATCATAGCAATTGTTTGTAAAATATTGAATCATGTGAAAAAGAATCTCGGTTCTTTGGCATTTCTCAATATCCCTTGAATAGTTATAAAACAAAAAATATGAATGATAGAATTGTGGTAAAGCATCTAAGGATGCTGAAATAAAATTGCTTTCTCTTTTCCCAGGCCTCTGTGGGTAGAGTTCCCTGATATATTAGAGACTTTTAGTATGGAAGAGGAATACATGCTAGGTGAGTATTTCTTGATTAATTGTAGTTATGATAAATAGTATAATTATATTTTATTATATGTTCTATTATAAGAGGTTAAAAACAAATCTTTAGTCCTAATAAAGCCAAAAAATAAAAATAAGGGCCAGCAGGTGGTATGGAGGTTAAGGCAGCTGGATCCCAAATGACCAACTGAATGGTTCAAACCCAGACCTAGTAGCTTGAAAGACATGCCAGGCACATGTGCGTGCATGCACAAAATCCCAAGAGGAGAATAGAGAAAGTATTATAGCAGGGCCATCCCCAGAGGGGATGATTTCTCACTTCCCTTCTTTTTCTGTCTCTAGCGGACATATATGCCCTATAGCAAAACTGGGGAAAAAACTTTTTTTTTAGTTAAAATAAAAGAAATTCCTGGAGCCAGCAGGTGGCATGGTGGTTAGGGGTGCTGGACTCCCACATGGCTGACTACAGCTCAAGTCCCAGACCTGGCAGCTTACTTTCTCACTTTCCCATTCTCTCTCTCTCTCATGCTGTCCCTCTTTGGTCAAATTGAAAAAAATAAATAAAGTTGAATAAAGCAATTCCTTTAAAAGAAAAGAAATTTCAGGACCAGCAGTTAGCGTAATGGCTATGTCGCTGGACTCCCACGTAGTCGACCGTGGTTCGAGTCCCGGACCCGGTGGCTTAAACTCACGCTGGGCGCGTGTGCGTGCGTGCCCAAGATCCCGAGAGGAGAATGGAGGAGAAGGGATTGCGGCGTGGCCATCCCCCCTAGGGGGTGATTTCCTGCTTTCTATCTCTCTGTCTCTCTCTGTCTGTCTGGTGAGCGCACGCGCCCTATAGCAAAAACCTCTCCAAAAAAAAAAAGAAAAGAAAAGAAATTTCTTCACTGAAATATTTTTTTTTCTTTTTTTCTTTTTGTCAAAGGGTACATGCACTCACCCAAAAGAGAGGGAAAGTGAGAAACCACCCTCCGGGGCAAATGGTCATACCACAGTTGCTTCTTCTTCATTATCCTCTTGCAATTTTGGGCATACATGCACATGTGCCCGTCATGATTTCACGCAGCCAGGTCCTAGACTCAAACCACAGAGCTCACCCTTTGGGATACAGCACCTAACCACTATACCACCTGCTGGCTCCTCACTAAAGTATTTAATGCACTAGTGGGATCAGAGCTCTGTTCTGGTATGATACATTTCTCATTGTTCCTGTTAATCACAAAATCTATTCTGTTTGTTGATATAATTTGGGGTTTTTGTTCTGGGTCTACTCAGTTGTGCCTTATAAACCTAGACCATTATGGGAAGGGAAGTAGAAAAAAGTAGAGTAAATGGTTATTAAAAAAAAACCAACAATAGGGACTAGCAGTTGACGTAATGGCTATGTTGCTGGACTCCCATGTAGTCGACCATGGTTCAAGTCCCAGACCCAGTGACTTAAACTCATGCCGGGTGCATGTGTGTGCATGTCCAAGATCTTGAGAGAGGAGAATGGAGGTGGTCATCCCCCCTGGGGGGGTGATTTCTGGCTTTCTGTCTCTCTGTCTCTCTCCTTCTGGCAAGTGCACGTGCTCTATAGCAAAAACCTCTCCAAAAACAACAACAAAAGAGCTCATTTCATATGCAATAATGTAGTTTTTTTTCCTTTGGTTTTCCTCTTCTAGATTAAGGATTAACTATTAAATCCAGAACATAGAAATTTATAATCTTAAGAACAAAGCTCAAAATGTCAGGCTAAGCACAGTTGCCCAAAGGGTGAGTGCTATTTCTAAGCAGAGAAATCCCCATATATTTTAAAAGAAAAAACAAAACAACCGAGCTCTTTATGCCGCCACTCATCATTAGATCTCTGTTAGTAGTCACTACCTTGGAGCAAATTAACATATTAACAAATAAATTAACATTTATTGAATAAAAGGACAAATTCATAAATAAATGAATTATGCATGTATGTGGTGCCAAGGTCAAAGCAAAATTAGGAATCCAGATTGCCTTGAAGAGAACTACAGCTTCCCAATGGTAAGTATGTGAGCAAAAGTATCTGAGTATTGGCACTGACCACACAGCAGGGGGGCTCACTACCACCAAATGTCACTGAAGCCAAACAGTGAACTCGTGGGGAGAGGTACAGTGGTGCTTTTGGACTGCTGACACACTAACAGTCATGCACAGCATGAACTGTGCGAGGTCGTGTCAGGGCCCCTTCCTATAATCCCAGTGTACATTAAGTGGAATAATGATGGCTGGTAGTACAAGCATTTCTCCGAGCACCCGTCCTCTTCCTAAGCGTAGCTCTCTGATGAATCATTAGTTCAACTCACCACACAGTCTCTGCCTTTGGAAAGTTCACAATCAAGTGCTCCTTAAAACCACAATAGTACTCAAGGAGAAAGAATGTTTTCAGACCTTTATAATGATACGCAACTCTGTGCCTTTTCCATTTTTTAGGAAGTGCTTTATTGGTTCGCCCAGTCACGGAACCAAAAGCCACCATGGTTGATGTGTTTCTTCCAGGACTAAATGAGGTAAGAGTAATAACTGGCAACTGCATATTTTATATGTCTTTCATCACTTCTTTTAGGAAAGAAATTTCTTTCGTTTTTTTTTTTTTTTTGGAGAGGTTTTTGCTATAGGGCGCATGCGCTCGCCGGAAAGACAGAGAGACAGAGAGACAGAAAGCAAGAAATCACCCCCCAGGGGAGATAGCCACGCTGCAATCCCTTCTCCTCCATTTTCCTCTCAGGATCTTGGGCACGCACGCACATGTGCCCAGTGTGAGTTTAAGCCGCAGGGTCCTCGACTCGAACCGCGGTCGACTACATGGGAGTCCAGCAGCATAGACATTACGCTAACTGCTGGTTCCAGGAAAGAGATTTCTTCATCATGCAGCTGTGAACACAGCCCAAATGACAGTAGCAACTGATGATTCTTACATCTCATCACAGTCCTAGAAGTATTATGGTTTGGATAATGGTTTGGCCCCAAGTTCCATGTTCTGGGATTTGGTGTTGGGAGGTGCTAAAACCTAGAGGGCGGTGAAGGTATCATGGTGATGGCATGGTGGAGGCAGCACCCTCGTGAATAGGTTAACGATGGCTCTCAAGGCCCAATGAGTTCCAGCTCTTGTGAGAAGGGGTTAGTGCTCATGAGAGCTGATTGCAGTAAGAGAGAGAGCTCCCCACAGTATGCTCACTTGCTCACCTGCCAGCTTCTGTGTTTCTATCAACCACATTGTAGGCCAGGCTGGAACCAGGCCTGCACCTTCAGACTTCCCAGTCACTAGGATTGTGAGTCAAACCTCTATTTTTTTTCTAATTGCCAGAGAGCAAGTATGCTTACCAGAGAGGAAAAACAAAACAAAACAAAACAAAACAAAACAAAAAAAACCCTAATGAGGCATGGCTATGCTGCAATTTCCTCTCCTCCGTTTCTCCATCCTCTTGAGATTTGGGGCACACATACACATGTGCCTGCTTGTTGTATGGTTTTCAAGTTGATAGGGCCAGGATACAAACTATGGTTGCCCATGTGATATCTGGCTCTTTTAACAATTAGGCCATGAGGTGACCCAACCCGTTTTTTGTTTTGTTTTGTTTTAATTTGCTATAGGGTGCATGTGCTCACTGGTGAGGTAGGAATAAAGGTCTCCCTGGGGCATGGCCAGCTGCAATTCTTTGCCTTCCATTCTCTTCTTGGGATTTTAGACACAAACACACACACACACATACACGCGCACACACACACACACACACACACACACACACACGGCATGTTTTCAAGCCCTTGATTCAGGACTCTAAGCATGTGTTGGCCATGTGGCTCCAGCCGCCTTAACCACCATGCTACTGACTGGTCTGCAACTCCTGATTTTTAATAAATCACCCAGTTTCAGGTATTTTTGTTAGCAACACAATAAAAGACTAAGAAATTTAATGGAGAAGAAGGAAGAAGAGATGATGACTCCAAGGAGTATCAGAATTTTTTTTTAATTAAAAATTTTAAAAGGTTTCTGCCATAGGGTATGGGCATTCAGCAGAGAGAGGGAAAGTGAAAACTCACCCACTAAGGGAGATGGCCATGCTGCAATCTTTTTCTTTTTTTTTTTTTGAGAGGTTTTTCACTATAGGGAGCATGCACTTGCCAGACAGACAGAGAGAGACAGAAAGACAGAAAGCCAGAAATCAGCCCACAGAGGGGATGGGCATGGCCACGCCGCAATCCCTTCTCCTCCATTCTCCTCTCAGGATCTTGGGCACACATGCACACGCTCCCAGTGTGGGTTTTAAGCCACTGGGTCCGGGACGCGAACCGTGGTCGACTACGTGGGAGTCCAGTGATATAGCCATTAGGCTAACTGCTGGTTCCCTATGCTGCAATCCTTTCTCCTCAAGTGTCTCCTGGGATTTAGGGCCCACAAGCACATACACTCAGTGTGATTTTTAAGCTGTCAGGTCCAGAACTTGGCCATGTGGGAATCCAATGCCTACTGGCCCCCAGAATTTTTTTTTATCTTAACTTTGATTTATGTCAGTGACTCTTTATAAACACATTGAGGGCTAGAATAGGAAGAAATTTTCAGTGTGCTATGAAGTATCATACTTTAGGGGAAAACGTAAATAGGAAGAGACTTTGCTTTTTGATTTTAGCTCTATCTGAATTCCAAGTTTTGGGTACCAAAAGCTTGTCTTAGACACTTACCAAAATGGGCAAAAATGGAACAAATGTGACTACCCTTTCAGTTCCTCCTGCCTTCCTGTGCTATTTTATTATTGTCATTAATTATTGTTGCCATAGGGGCTGGCAGGTGGCATGGTGGTTAAGGTGCTTGATCCCCACATGGTCAACCGTGGTTCAAGCCCTGGACCTGGCTTGAAAATTATGCCAAGCATGTATGTACATATGTCCAAAGACCCAGGAGGAGAATGGAAGAGAAAGATCACAGTGTGGCCATGCCCTCTGGTGGGTGATTTCTCACTTTTCCTGTCTCTCTGTTTCCAACAAGCATACCTACCCTGTGGCAAAAACCTAAAAAAAAAAAAAAAAAAAAGTAAGAAAAAAGTTATTGTTACTATATAAAATATTATCTTGGATCTAGGGCACCGAACCCAGGCACAGCCTGAGGGGACATGTGGGAATAATCCATGGTCTGCAGGGCAGAGAGGCATGAGTAATAAGAGCAAGAACCTACAGAGGCAGACACCAGATATATCCAGAGGGCCCAAGAGAAGAGACTGGGCAGACACTTGGAGCACTAAGAGGGTGTGGAATGGAGAGCGGGAAGGAGATGACCCTCAAGCAAGTCACTGAGCACTGGATCATGGCCACAGGCTTATCAGGCAAGGGGAGAGGCATGAAGGGTACAGAGCTGGTGAGGAACTCCCACTTTGAGGTAACCTTGGACTGCCAAGGTGAATGGTGAGTAGCTGAACCAGGTCACTCTCACTGCCTGGCACTATCAAGCACTGTGATGGCATTACTGGGAAGCCACACTCAGCACCAGTGTTCTCCTCTACCTCATGTTGCATGTTGGTTCCTGTATTAGTTTCCTGGTGGCTAAAAACAACAAAAATGTATTCTCTCACACGTCTGGAGACCTGAGGTCTGAAATCAAGGTTGTTGGTAGGGTTGGTTCCTTTTGGAGTCTCTTCTTCTTTTTTTTATTTTTAAGAGAGAGATTTTTGCTATAGGGCATGTATGTTCACTGAAGAGACAGAGAGACAGAAAGCAAGAAATTACCCCCCCCGGGGGGGGATGGCCATGCCACAATCTCTTCCCCTCCATTCTCCTTTCAGAATCTTGGGCATGCACACACATGCGCCCACAGCAGCATAACCATCATGCCATCTGCTGATCTCTAGGAATCTTTTTTTTTTTTTTTTTTAAGAATTATTTTAGGGAACCAGCAGTTAGCATAATGGCTATGTCGCTGGACTCCCACATAGTTGATTGCGGTTCGAGTTCCGGAGAGGAGAATGGAGGAGAAGGGATTGCGGCGTGACCATCCCCCCTGGGAGGTGATTTCTCGCTTTCTGTCTTTATGTCTCTCTCTGTCTGTCTGGCGAGCGCACGCGATTCCAAAAAAAAAAAAAAAAAAGAATTATTTTATTGGGCCAGTAGGTGGCATGGTGATTAAGGGAACTGGACTCCCGCATTGCCAACTGCAGTTTGAGTCTTGGACCTGGCAACTTGCTTTCTCACTTTCTCTCTCTCTCTCGCTCTCTCTCTCTCTTTCTCACTCTATTCCTCTTGGGTCAAATTAAAATAAGTAAATAAAGTTAAATTTTAAAAAGAATTATTTTATTTAACTTTATGTATGTATTTATGTATTTTTAATTTGACCAGAAAGGGACAGACTGAGAGAGAGGGAAAATGAGAACGCAAACCACCAGGTCCAGGACTCAAACCACAGTCAGCTATGTAGGAGTCCAGTGTCCTTAACCACCATGCCACCTTCTGGCCTTGTCCCTAGGAATCTTAAATGTGTATATTCGTCCTAATTCTACTCAAGATTTCTTAAATGTATATGTGATGCTTATTTTATCTTTCTGGTTAGTTTTGAAATTCAGGTTAAGTGAATATTTTCCTGAATAACAAAATTGTGAGCAGAGTTTTCATATAATCTTTTTCAGTGGGGTCTGTTACTTTTTAGGTCTGGTATGACTCTAAGACATTCACTCGCTGGGAAGGAGGATGTACTGTGAAAGTCCCAGTATCCTTGGACACTGTAAGTGATTTCCAGATGATTTGTTTACCTGTTGTGGTGTCTTAGTCTACTTAGGCTTCCTTAACAAAATGCTACCCATAGGTGGTTTAAACAACAGACTTTTACTGTCTCACAGTTCTAGAGGCTCCAAGTCCCAGATTACAGTATCAGCCAATTCAGTTCCCAGTGAGGGGTCTCTTCCTGGTTTGTAGACTGCCACCTTCTTGCTGTGCCCTTACATGGCAGAGAGAGAGAAAGAGAAAGAGGGTGAGTTCTGTGGAGTCTCTAATAAGGAGGTAATTGTTAACCTTAATTACCTCCATAAAGGCCCTGTCTCTAAATATAGTTAAACTGAGAGTTAAGGATTTAACATATGAATTTGGGGAGGGAGGGCAAGCATTTAATCTATAATATGTTTCTATATAGAAAGAACCAAGGATGTTAATATTCTGCCCAATAATACATGTGGAGACAGAAGTAGGTTAGTGGTGGGAACCAGCAGTTAGTGTAATGGCTATGTCGCTGGACTCCCATGTAGTCGACCGCGGTTCGCGTCCTGGACCCGGTGGCTTAAAACTCACGCCGGGCGCGTGTGCGTGCGTGCCCAAGATCCCGAGAGGAGAATGGAGGAGAAGGGATTGCGGCGTGACCATCCCCTCTGGAGGGTGATTTCTCGCTTTCTGTCTCTATGTCTCTCTCTGTCTGTCTGGCGAGCACACGTGCCCTATAGCGAAAATCTCTCCAAAAAAAAAGAAGTAGGTTAGTGATTGCCTAGGGCTGAGGCCACATATAAGATGGGCAGAATAGAATACCTCACTTGAAAGAAAAAACCAGCAAAGACAGGTGTAGATAATGAATCAGTGAAGGGTGGGAAGTTTTCTTAACAGTTTACAAAATGAGACATTTTGTAGTATTTGAGCTTCTTTCTTTAAGGGCCCCCATATTTGCCATATTTGTGCCCACAAATTTATTTTACCCTTAAGTATGTATTTGTAAAGATTTTGAGTTGTATACAATTAAATATTTTCGAATTCTGTGAACTGTACTTCTATGATTACTGCTTCCCCAAGAGTGCTGCTCTGTTGCAGATACCAGTGTTTCAACGAGGTGGAAGTGTGGTACCAATAAAGACGACTATAGGAAAATCCACAGGCTGGATGACTAATTGCCCATATGGACTCCGGGTTGCTCTAAGCACTAAGGTATTTGAAGAAAAAAATAAATAAATCTATGACCTTTTTTGCTACTACTGAGTCTCTACAGTGCAACCTGTTGAGTATGTGACACTGTGTAAAAGTGGTGAGCCCATCTATAAGATAGTTGCTTCTAGATGTTTATCCAGAAATCAGGGTTTTGAATCATTGTACAACTCATCTGCTTTTCTTGAATTGTTTATAATGGCGCTCAGATCTGGGAGTGATTAAAATGTCTATCTTGGGCTCTGTGACTGTTGGTTCTCCTCAGCTGGGCATTGGTTACTACTGGACTGAAAGCTCACTGGGCCATGGGCAGCCTGCCCATGTGGACATACCTGGAACACAGTCTCCCATAAAAGGATACCTGCGTCTGTGCACCACTTCAGAGCCCCCATTCCACCCAGGGACTGTAGTCTCACCATGTGGCCCAAACAACTAAAATTTTCTTGGGTAAAGCCTGGGAGGATCCAGGACTGATTTATCGTTTTTTTGTTTTTGTTTTTTTTTTTAGAGGTTTTTGCTATAGGGCGCATGCGTTCGCCAGACAGACAGAGACAGAGAGAGAGAAAGCGAGAAATCACCCCCCAGGGGAATGGCCACGCTGTCATCTCTTCTCCTCCATTCTCCTCTCGGGATCTTGGGCATGCACATACATGTGCCCAGCATGAGTTTAAGCCACCGGGTCTGGGATGTGAACCGCGGTCAACTACGTGGGAGTCCAGCAACATAGCCATTACGCTAACTGCTGGTCCCAGGACAGTTGATATCATTACATACTGATCTGTTTGTTTTTAGCTTCAGTTTCATTCTGCAAACTTTCTTGGGCATCATATTCTGAGATAATATTTTCAGAGATGCGTTTATGCTGGACCATACATTATATATTAAATTTCTTCCAGGGCAGCCAGGAGCATAGTGGTTAAGTGTCTGGATCCCACATGGCTGACTGTGAGGTTCAAGTCCCAGACCCAGTAGCTTGAGAAACATGCTGGGTGTGTGTGTGTATGTGTGTACATGCCTGAAATCCCAAGAGGAGAATGGTGGAGAAGGGATGTTGGCATTGCCATTCTGCTGTGTGTGTGGGAGGGGGGTATGGAGCGCGGTGCTTTCCCACTTCTGCTCTCTGTCTCTCTGGCAAGTGCATGCACCCTGCAGCAATTATTTTTTTTATTTCAACAAGACCTTTTTGTGCTCTTATATTATGTCTATAGCCATATTATTTTTCTATCCAGGATGATTGAGTATTGAATATAATGAATTTACATAACTACTTGTATAACTTAAATATTAAGCTTTTGGTCAACATAATTTTTGCAATTATGCAAAATAAATATAATATAAAAAATAATTCTAGGGACTATTTTATAAAAAATAATTCTGGGGACTAGCAGATGGTATAATAATAATGTCACTGGACTCCCACATGATCGACCACAGTTCAAGTCCCAGGCCCAGGGACTTCAAACGCATGCTGGGTGCATGTGCATATGTGCCCAAAATCCCAAGAGGATAGTAGAAGAGAAGGGACTGTAGTGTGGCCATCCCCCTGGGGTGTGATATCTCGCTTTCTGTCTCTCTCGCTCTCTTTCCAGTAAGTGCATGTACCCTAATAGCAAAAAGATCTCTAAACAACTTAAAAGTTCTATTGTTTCTCTTTAGGGGCTGATGTTCTTTTCTTATAGAACTATTCTATATAAATACATTCTCTGTCTTTGATTCACTCTCCAGGGTTCTGCAGTGGGTGAGTTATATCTGGATGATGGTCATTCATTCCAGTACCTCCACCAGAAACAATTCTTACACAGGAAGTTTTCATTTTGTTCCAGTGTTTTGATCAACAGGTACTAGCAACTAAAGAAGCTGTGCTTTCTTGTATAAGTTATCCTATTTTCTGGCATCCTCAAACACATCACTGGTATTATTTTTAAAGAATTATTTTATTTAACTTTATTTATTGTTATTATTTTCCAATTTGATCAGAGAGAAAGAGGGAAAGTGAGAAAGCAAGCCACCAGGTCTGGGAGCTGAACCGTGGTCAGCTATATGGGAGTCCAGCACCCTTAACCACCACACCACCTGCCAGCCCCCATAGCTGATATTTTAAGTTACTATTTAAAGAAATGAATGGGGGCCAGCCAGTGGCACAGTGGTTGGCTTGCATTCTCACTTTCTCTCTCTCTCTCTCTCTCGTCAATTAAAATAATAATAATAATAACAAAATAAAATAAATAATTTTTTTAAAAAATGAAATGAATAGTAAGTGTCATTTGTGGAGTATTTTCCATCATTCTACCATGAATGTCCTTTTCTTATCATCTCCACCTTCCTTTGCTGCCTTCTTAAAAAAAATGGATCCCGTGGGACCAGCAGTTAGCGTAATGGCTATGTCTCTGGACTCCATATAGTTGTCCACGGTTTGAGTCTCGGACCCAGTGGCTTAAACTCACGCCGGGCATGTGTGCGTGCGTGCCCAAAATCCCGAGAGGAGAATAGAGGAGAAGGGATTGCGGCGTGGCCATCCCCCATGGGGGGGTGATTTCTTGCTTTCTGTCTCTCTGTCTCTCTCTGTCTTTCTGGTGAGTGCACGCGCCCTATAATCCAAAAAAAAGGATTCCGTTTAAGTTTCATTAATCTCATTTACTCATTCATTCACCATTTGACTCAGTATCTGATGTCTTACAATTTAATTACAATATCCAAGTTACATTTGTGACTTTTATAACTTCTCTCAAAATGGCTTTTTAAATGGAGATTGGTTTGGCTACTGGTTAGCCTATGCTTGGCACAGAGTCATCTTTTTTCACCTATTCATTCTAGTAAATAGATTACTGTATTATTTATGCTTTCATAAGGATGGATAGAAGGGAAACTTACAAGACTAGAGATGTTGACTAGTGACCTTTTCAAACCCCCATCCGCCCCTTCTCCTAAATATCATCTGTATCTATTCCAGTTGTGCCGATGAGAGAGGTCATTATTCCAGCCAGTGTGTGGTGGAGCAGATCCTGGTCTTGGGCCTCAGGAAGGAACCTTCTTCTGTGACCGCCCACTTATCTGGTGAGGAAACAGTTCATTCTTAGCTCACCTTGGTTTTTTTTGTAAGCGATGCAGTTGAATAGTTAGGAGGAGCTGTTTAGTCTAAGAACAATATAATATACTTAGCCCGAGTGGACTCTAGTGCTTCCTGGTAAAGGTCAAATATACTAGTCTCCAGAGTGAACAAGGTCATCCTGTTCCCATTCATGATTTGATCTTTCTGCTCATGGTTGATATTTTTCTAAGGGAAATTATTTGGGACTTGGAATAATGTTGTAGCATTTTTGAATAGTCTTCATACTATAGATACATGAAGCCATAGAATACCACGTACGTTTATGGAGTTTATGAAAGAGCATAGGATGTGATTTACATCCTTCCTTGCCTACCGAATTTTTTAGACAAATCACTTTGTGCTTTTTACAATTTCTTTTCAAACAATTTTGCACTCAAAACAATGAAGTGTTTCATGTTTTTAAAAACGCATAGAAAGGGGGTAGCATAGTGGTTGAGGTGCTGGACTTGCACATGGCTGACCAAGATTTGAGTCTTAGACTCTGCAGCTTGAAACTCGTACCAGATGCTCGTACCAGATGTGTGGGGGGTGGGGGGGTGGGGAGAGGTACCACAGGCCACCTTTCAGTTGGAGGAAAGAAAATCTCTAGAGGAGACTGGAGAAAAAGGGATTGTGGCATGACCATCCTCCCGGGGCAGAGGGGCGGGGGTGATTTCTCACTTTTTGTCACTGTCTCTCTGGTGAGTACACATGCCGTATAGCAAAAATCTCTTCTAAAACAAAACAAAACAAAACAAAACGCATGTGGAAGTTCATGGGTAAAAGTGTTATTGATTTGAATTCTCCTCAGTGGGATATAAGGTTTTATGATCAAGTCAGAAAACATTTCCAATTCAAAGAAAGACTCCTTCCTTCTAGATATTTATCGAACTTTTCCTATTTTATTGTCTTGCTATTTAGATGGTAAAGACCAGCCTGTGGCTTTTACATATTGTGGCAAAACATCCGCCCTGACCCTGGAGAAGCTCTCACTGGACGTTGGTGCTGACTGGGAGGTCCACATCAAATGACAAAGTAGTGCTCCTGGTGAGGCGCTGCCCCTTTCAGCCCGCCCACGCCTTTCTGAGATCAATCCAATTGCCTGCCCTGGTTCAGAATCACCTTTCCTTAGTCACCAGGGCACTAACAAATGATAGAGTTTAGACTTTTAAATTTTAGATTTTGCACTTTAAGATATATTAGCAATACTGTTTGTGTCAAACACTACCTCTTCTCCCAGACCCAGGTAGCCCTGTGATATTTATAAAGTTGATGATCTTTCAGAGCTTCTTGGGCCACAGTCCTGTGGTGGGAACTGTGGCCCAGTGAGTGGCCTCTCTTAGAGCAGAACTGGGTGGTTTTAACGTGAGTCAAGCAACCTGCATGCCTCATTTGTTGGGGCTTGTCTTAGGCCATGCCACAGAGTGGTTCTGGCTGCAAGAGCTAAGTCATTCAAGGCCGGTCTCCAACTGAACAGCGGCCTGTGGTACCTCTCCCCCCCAGAGTTCCTTGTCACCCGCATCTCTGTAGATGAAACAGCCCTCTGTGTGCACATGCTGCAGCCACAGGGAGTTATTCTTCCCAAGGGCTGCCTCAGGATGAATTCTCTCCCTTTTCATAATCCTCTGCTCCAAATCTTAAATTCACATTTCTTTGTTTTAGCTTTTGAAATTAAATACTGCCTACTAACCAAAGAATATTATATGAGTAAGCTATAATTAATAATGTTGAAATAAATACCCATGTCCCTGTCACTGAACTCGAGAAAAAGAACACACGACTAGGACTAAGATGAGACAAGTGGGGTGTTTGTCTCAGGCACAAAATTTAAGGGGATGCCAAAAAATGCAATAGTCAAAATAGGTAATATGTTAGTATACTGTTTTTTAAAAATCAATATTAAGACCCAAAAATATCATGACGAACAAAATATCATAATTCCAATAAAGACAGGATCCGTGTCACTGAGTTTTTCCTTTTGCTTCCGTTTTTCACTATAGCTTGGTGTGGGATAGGACATTGCTGCACACCGGTCACATCCTGATGCTCCCTGCTCTAGACACGCCAGGGACTGCTACACCATGTCTGTTGGGGCAGGCTCAACTCCTCAATTCTCTCAGTTTCTTATCAGGCTTCCTCCATTAGCAGCTTGCCAACTGCCACCTCTGTACTTTCTGCTCCCTGGGCCACAGTGACCTCCCCTCCCTCTGTCTATACAGACCTTAACCATCCTTCTTTCCTGTGAAGACTTTCTAACTACCCTGAACTCCTACTCCCATGTACCCACTAGCAGTGGTTTTGCCCTTCTCTGAAATGCTGCCCCACTTGCAGTAGTGCTCTACTCAGCATCCTCAGGGATCTGACCTTAATGTTTCAAGTATATCTGTCTGTTCTACTAAACGATGTATTCTTTAAGAGTGTCTTACTCTTCTTTCATATGCACTAGCACACTGTCACACTTCGCTTTCAGGAACTGTTGGCTGTGACTGGTTACCCAATGCACTTGATTGATTAAAAAGTGAGAATTGAATGCATTTGTTTCTGATTTACTTTTCTGACACAGGACTCTTCCCAGTTCTTTCCAGCATTGTGCATTTCCTCACAGAAACATTTTATTGTTAGCAGTTGAAATTTGAGCTTCATAACATACATAAGTTTACACAGACACATGCATATTCTTGGATCCTATTTCTATAAGTTTTGTAATTGAGGAAAAAGGAAGAACTCTATATTAGCAAGACATGGTCCCCAACTTCAAATTTACTTTGCCATCCTAAACTAAGTCTTAGCCTGAAAACTGGGTGCGCTTCCCTAATCTAAATGATGGTTTTTAAATCATATTTAAAGCTGAATAATTAGGGGCCATTTTTGTTTATTGCTAATCTATTCTTCACTCATTTAAAATATTCTGGGGCCCAGCTTCTTTGGTACGGTAGATAGTGTACTGGACAAGAAGCTGGAAACCTAATGCCGACTGCAGTTCAAGTCAGGCAGCCTGAAAACAAACTGGGCATATGCACACGCACACCCAGGATCCTGGGGCAAGCTATAGGAAGGAGACTCATTACCAAGCCCTGTGGAGGGTGCTCATCTTTCTCTTTCTCTGTCTCTCTCCCTCTCTCTTTCTTACTTGTGTACAGACAGACATATGCATTCTGTCATTCATTCATGAATTAATTAATTAATAGTTTTGGAGGAAGGAACAAAGCAACTATTTCAGTAAGTCAGTGAGTCCTGACCCAACTCTACATTGAACTAGAGATTAGTGAAGAGAAATATAATCTGGGTATTTGTTTTTAAGAATTATTATTATTTTTTTTTCACATGAGTTTTGCCAGAGAAAGAGAGAGAGAGAGGGGGTGAGTGAGAAAGCAAGTCACCCGGCCCAAGACTTGAACCACAGTTGGCTATGTGGTAATTCCGGTGCCTTATCCACCATGCCACCTGCTGGCCCCAATCTGGATTGTTCTCTGTTCTTATTGTTTCTCACACTTTACTCACTTCTGTTTCTTCATTTTTTTTTTTTTGAGAGAGATTTTTTGCTATAGGGCATGTGCACTTGCCAGACAGACAGAGAGAGACAGAGAGATAGAAAGCAGGAAATCCCCCCCCAGGAGGGATGGCCATGCCACAATCCCTTCTCCTCCATTCTCCTCTCAGGATCTTGGGCATGCACACACACGCGCCTGGCATGAGTTTAAGCCACCAGGTCTGGGACTCGAACTGCGGTCAACTACGTGGGAGTCCAATGACACAGCCATTACGCTAACTGCTGGTCCCACTCACTTCTATTTCTGAGCCATGTTCCAGAGAGCTATGTGGGTCTAAGCTGACCTCCAGGTATTCAGTGACCTTGTTGTGGCTAATTTTTGACATTTTTTCCAGGAAACTGGATTTTATGTCAGAAATTCGAACTGTGTCAGTGGGGGTTCCAACAGAACTTTAGAACAAATGCAGTGTCTTTCCTTCAGGGTTTAAATGCCAGGGGGTTAATTGACAAATTGATTAGAAAATAAACTGCCCGGGACCAGCAGATGGCATAATGGTTATGTCGCTGGACTCCTACATAATAGATTCAAGTCCCAGACCCGGTGGCTTAAAACTCAGTCTGGGCACATGTGCATGCATGCCCAAGATCCCAAGAGGAGAATGGAGGAGAAAGTATTGCGGCGTGGCCATCCCACACCGGGGTGATTTCTCACCTTCTGTCTCTCTGTCTCTCTAGTGAGCACACGTGCCCAATAACAAAAATCTCTCTTAAAAAGAAAAGAAACTGCCCAACAAGAAAGTAGGTAAAGGTAATTCATGAAAGAAGTTAAACTCGTACCAGATGTGTGGGGGGTGGGGGGGTGGGGAGAGGTACCACAGGCCACCTTTCAGTTGGAGGAAAGAAAATCTCTAGAGGAGACTGGAGAAAAAGGGATTGTGGCATGACCATCCTCCCGGGGCAGAGGGGCGGGGGTGATTTCTCACTTTTTGTCACTGTCTCTCTGGTGAGTACACATGCCGTATAGCAAAAATCTCTTCTAAAACAAAACAAAACAAAACAAAACGCATGTGGAAGTTCATGGGTAAAAGTGTTATTGATTTGAATTCTCCTCAGTGGGATATAAGGTTTTATGATCAAGTCAGAAAACATTTCCAATTCAAAGAAAGACTCCTTCCTTCTAGATATTTATCGAACTTTTCCTATTTTATTGTCTTGCTATTTAGATGGTAAAGACCAGCCTGTGGCTTTTACATATTGTGGCAAAACATCCGCCCTGACCCTGGAGAAGCTCTCACTGGACGTTGGTGCTGACTGGGAGGTCCACATCAAATGACAAAGTAGTGCTCCTGGTGAGGCGCTGCCCCTTTCAGCCCGCCCACGCCTTTCTGAGATCAATCCAATTGCCTGCCCTGGTTCAGAATCACCTTTCCTTAGTCACCAGGGCACTAACAAATGATAGAGTTTAGACTTTTAAATTTTAGATTTTGCACTTTAAGATATATTAGCAATACTGTTTGTGTCAAACACTACCTCTTCTCCCAGACCCAGGTAGCCCTGTGATATTTATAAAGTTGATGATCTTTCAGAGCTTCTTGGGCCACAGTCCTGTGGTGGGAACTGTGGCCCAGTGAGTGGCCTCTCTTAGAGCAGAACTGGGTGGTTTTAACGTGAGTCAAGCAACCTGCATGCCTCATTTGTTGGGGCTTGTCTTAGGCCATGCCACAGAGTGGTTCTGGCTGCAAGAGCTAAGTCATTCAAGGCCGGTCTCCAACTGAACAGCGGCCTGTGGTACCTCTCCCCCCCAGAGTTCCTTGTCACCCGCATCTCTGTAGATGAAACAGCCCTCTGTGTGCACATGCTGCAGCCACAGGGAGTTATTCTTCCCAAGGGCTGCCTCAGGATGAATTCTCTCCCTTTTCATAATCCTCTGCTCCAAATCTTAAATTCACATTTCTTTGTTTTAGCTTTTGAAATTAAATACTGCCTACTAACCAAAGAATATTATATGAGTAAGCTATAATTAATAATGTTGAAATAAATACCCATGTCCCTGTCACTGAACTCGAGAAAAAGAACACACGACTAGGACTAAGATGAGACAAGTGGGGTGTTTGTCTCAGGCACAAAATTTAAGGGGATGCCAAAAAATGCAATAGTCAAAATAGGTAATATGTTAGTATACTGTTTTTTAAAAATCAATATTAAGACCCAAAAATATCATGACGAACAAAATATCATAATTCCAATAAAGACAGGATCCGTGTCACTGAGTTTTTCCTTTTGCTTCCGTTTTTCACTATAGCTTGGTGTGGGATAGGACATTGCTGCACACCGGTCACATCCTGATGCTCCCTGCTCTAGACACGCCAGGGACTGCTACACCATGTCTGTTGGGGCAGGCTCAACTCCTCAATTCTCTCAGTTTCTTATCAGGCTTCCTCCATTAGCAGCTTGCCAACTGCCACCTCTGTACTTTCTGCTCCCTGGGCCACAGTGACCTCCCCTCCCTCTGTCTATACAGACCTTAACCATCCTTCTTTCCTGTGAAGACTTTCTAACTACCCTGAACTCCTACTCCCATGTACCCACTAGCAGTGGTTTTGCCCTTCTCTGAAATGCTGCCCCACTTGCAGTAGTGCTCTACTCAGCATCCTCAGGGATCTGACCTTAATGTTTCAAGTATATCTGTCTGTTCTACTAAACGATGTATTCTTTAAGAGTGTCTTACTCTTCTTTCATATGCACTAGCACACTGTCACACTTCGCTTTCAGGAACTGTTGGCTGTGACTGGTTACCCAATGCACTTGATTGATTAAAAAGTGAGAATTGAATGCATTTGTTTCTGATTTACTTTTCTGACACAGGACTCTTCCCAGTTCTTTCCAGCATTGTGCATTTCCTCACAGAAACATTTTATTGTTAGCAGTTGAAATTTGAGCTTCATAACATACATAAGTTTACACAGACACATGCATATTCTTGGATCCTATTTCTATAAGTTTTGTAATTGAGGAAAAAGGAAGAACTCTATATTAGCAAGACATGGTCCCCAACTTCAAATTTACTTTGCCATCCTAAACTAAGTCTTAGCCTGAAAACTGGGTGCGCTTCCCTAATCTAAATGATGGTTTTTAAATCATATTTAAAGCTGAATAATTAGGGGCCATTTTTGTTTATTGCTAATCTATTCTTCACTCATTTAAAATATTCTGGGGCCCAGCTTCTTTGGTACGGTAGATAGTGTACTGGACAAGAAGCTGGAAACCTAATGCCGACTGCAGTTCAAGTCAGGCAGCCTGAAAACAAACTGGGCATATGCACACGCACACCCAGGATCCTGGGGCAAGCTATAGGAAGGAGACTCATTACCAAGCCCTGTGGAGGGTGCTCATCTTTCTCTTTCTCTGTCTCTCTCCCTCTCTCTTTCTTACTTGTGTACAGACAGACATATGCATTCTGTCATTAATTCATGAATTAATTAATTAATAGTTTTGGAGGAAGGAACAAAGCAACTATTTCAGTAAGTCAGTGAGTCCTGACCCAACTCTACATTGAACTAGAGATTAGTGAAGAGAAATATAATCTGGGTATTTGTTTTTAAGAATTATTATTATTTTTTTTTCACATGAGTTTTGCCAGAGAAAGAGAGAGAGAGAGGGGGTGAGTGAGAAAGCAAGTCACCCGGCCCAAGACTTGAACCACAGTTGGCTATGTGGTAATTCCGGTGCCTTATCCACCATGCCACCTGCTGGCCCCAATCTGGATTGTTCTCTGTTCTTATTGTTTCTCACACTTTACTCACTTCTGTTTCTCCATTTTTTTTTTTTTGAGAGAGATTTTTTGCTATAGGGCATGTGCACTTGCCAGACAGACAGAGAGAGACAGAGAGATAGAAAGCAGGAAATCACCCCCCAGGAGGGATGGCCATGCCACAATCCCTTCTCCTCCATTCTCCTCTCAGGATCTTGGGCATGCACACACACGCGCCTGGCATGAGTTTAAGCCACCAGGTCTGGGACTCGAACTGCGGTCAACTACGTGGGAGTCCAATGACACAGCCATTACGCTAACTGCTGGTCCCACTCACTTCTATTTCTGAGCCATGTTCCAGAGAGCTATGTGGGTCTAAGCTGACCTCCAGGTATTCAGTGACCTTGTTGTGGCTAATTTTTGACATTTTTTCCAGGAAACTGGATTTTATGTCAGAAATTCGAACTGTGTCAGTGGGGGTTCCAACAGAACTTTAGAACAAATGCAGTGTCTTTCCTTCAGGGTTTAAATGCCAGGGGGTTAATTGACAAATTGATTAGAAAATAAACTGCCCGGGACCAGCAGATGGCATAATGGTTATGTCGCTGGACTCCTACATAATAGATTCAAGTCCCAGACCCGGTGGCTTAAAACTCAGTCTGGGCACATGTGCATGCATGCCCAAGATCCCAAGAGGAGAATGGAGGAGAAAGTATTGCGGCGTGGCCATCCCACACCGGGGTGATTTCTCACCTTCTGTCTCTCTGTCTCTCTAGTGAGCACACGTGCCCAATAACAAAAATCTCTCTTAAAAAGAAAAGAAACTGCCCAACAAGAAAGTAGGTAAAGGTAATTCATGAAAGAAGTTAAAACATACAAAATATACTAAATACTTACAAGTAAGAGAAGCTCTGCCTCATTGATAATCAAGTAAATGATCTTTTGATTGATCAGCCAAGATTGAAAAGTAAAAATGTCTGATTTTGTTGTTGGTGTTGTGAAATAGACATGCCTGTGCATCATTGATAGAATTATAAATAAATACCATCTATCAGGATGCCAATCTGGCAATAATACAGTGTTTTAAA